TGATATCAAGATAAGTCCCCTCATCCAAATCTCAAGCAGGATGACTCGGACAAGCAGAAAGAAAGCCAAGCCACGTCAGCTATTTCCAAATTTAATTGGGCAATTTAATTTGTTACATGAAAGCGGTTGTGCAGAGTTTTGAGCACATTTCAGTATATGTTCTACATAGATCGAATGATTCTCCTTAACAGTTTGAAAGGAATGCGCATAAACGCGCTCTTATAAAAATTTCAGTTGCACAATTAAATTTGGCAATAGCCAATGTGGCCTGGTTCCTTTCTGCTAAACGCGGTCCACTGTAGATCGTGAAAAAGTTTATATTCGACCAATGAGAGAGAATTCGCCGCTGTCCGGACGTAGGAACGTACCTCCATTTTAAGATTCCAAAATCTTCTTACATTATGGAGAATTTGCACGAAACAATTTTAGTGCCTCATTAAAGAGTATTTATGAGCCGAGTTTGCAGTAAATTTCATGATTTTATTCTTTCTGATATGGGATTTGTGGAAAGGTATATATAAAATTAAGAAAATGCACCGCCTTGTGACTTCATCTGGCGGCATTTCCTATTCTAACACAAGTATTTTTGCAGATTCGATTATTTTGTCATATTTCCTCCAAACATTGTTCAATTTAGAAACCAGGAAATCCTCGTGCTCCGTTCTCTCAGTGGCTTCATCCTAAACGTGAAATTCACCAACTATCAATCAGAAACCTACAGATTCTCAATAATTTTGTTTTACTTATGAATAGAAGCGCAATCATAGTCCAAAATTTTAATAACTTTTGACGATTATGTAAGGAAATGCTAAGAAATCTGAAATAAAAATGTCAAATAGTTTTTGAGGAAAATTAACAATGGAAGAGGGAGGTTTGGCAACGTTTAAATGTTCTTCCGTCTAGGAAACTACGAATTGGGGTTTATACTTGACATTAAAATCGATAAATTCAACTTCCACGCTCACAATAATACGAAATTAAACATGAGTCAAATCGGTTTGGAAAGAAAATTTCGTGTTCAACGAAGACGTAACGTTGAATTTTACAAGACTTCTTCTCCTCATCTTCCTTCAATATCTTCCCACTTGCAACGTTGCCAAGAAAAAATTCAGGACTCTGAGCTAGGTAGTATTACCGCATTACAAAATGAAAGTAGGTTTTGTTAGGTAGGTGTGTAGCCGAAGTGCTGAAAAATGTGCAAGTATTAACTTACATAAAACTGCTTTATTCGATTATAATCTTTGTTCAAAGCTTTTCGGCACAATCGCCATTGTTAGGACCTTTGTAGTGAGAAAATTAAAATTTAAATACATTTTTCAATTTACAATACACAACTTTGGTAGGCACTCAAAAGTTTTCTCACTACGAAGGCTCTAACGATGGCAATTGTGCCGGAAAGCTTTGACCAAACATTATAATCGAATAAAGCAGTTTTATGTAAGTTAATTTTTGCACATTTTTTAGCACTTTGGCTACACACCTACCTAACAAGTTCAATTAATTGTAAGTGCTACTATCAATATGTTACAAATTAATAAAGTCACAATCAATGAAGCCAGAAGTTTGAATTGCCGAACATAAGAAGCGCTGAAATTTCACATATCAATTAAAGTTGGATAATTTTGAAGCACTTTAGTACATACGCTTCAGTATTAGTCACCTTTTAACAGAGAAAGTGATGGCTTTTCCGGCCCCAGCTCAAAGGCGGGCCCATATGAAGCTATTCTAACTACGAGGGGGTTAAAATCTCATACAAGAGCGAATTGCATTGACACCGGACAAAATAAGCGCACTAATTGAAGAGAAGAGATGAAAAGGCATTGCTGATACGAGCGAGCGCCGAATTAGACGCGCGAAGAAAACGTGTGTGTATAGCGGCGGGACGGAAATCTTCCGTGGTAAGGAAAAACGTCGTATGAGCCCCCAAGGTTGCCACGTTTTCCTCGTTAAAATAGGAGCTTTTACGGAAACTTGTGAGAATACTCGTCTTCCCCCGCAAAATTTTGGTGAATTTTGTGAGAAATACAATCTGATGTTTACAGAATGATTAACGTCATCGTGTTCAAGTTTGGCGTTTGTGAGAGAAACGACCTCAGTCTAAGAGGGTAGATTTTTCAAGAGTAGTGTTTTTGGCTCTTGCAAATTCAAGATCATAAGAGAAAAGAGGAGGACTTAACCAGTTAAAACTGAATTACCTCTCATTTCAAATATTGGGACTGTATTACACGGTTGAAGATATACTTTTTAAAATCTTCAAAGCGTCGATGATTTTCATCACGTTTGGAAGTTTCAAATGAATGGAACTTTATGGCAGAGAGAAAGTTCACATACTCACTTTTTTATGCTAAAAAATGGGATTTTAGTATTGCATTTTTTACAGAATATACTCGAAGACTACTTTAATTGAAATCATTAATATCAATAATATAGATATTTAAAAAAAAAAAAAAAAAAAAAAAAAAAAAAAAAAAAAAAAAAAAAAAANAAAAAAAAAAACTGTACTTATCTCTCCCAAGCCCCTCATGTGTCATTTTGAGCCTTATTCAATTCATCGGTGTCGCTGACTTCCGTCTCAATATTCCCAAAACCAAATGACTTAGTTTTCATAACCAACCCCTTTTTATCATATTACCCCAGAGCCAAAAGTTAACCGACTACCTAACTCCATTTTAGTCTTTTCGAGATATCAGGGGAAAATCGCGCGTCGGTCCCATCGATTCCAATGTAAATCACAATTTTTGAAACTCCGTATCTCAATACCGACGCAAGATAGAACTACCAACTTTTCCACGCACATGGGATCGTTATTGGAGATTTCCAAAACGACACTAACTCGATTTTTACAAAAATGCGAGTTACGTACCTTTTGGCCATTTCGTTAAATGAATAATTGGACTATTTTTGCAATCTGGAACTATAAATTCTGACCCGGTTTAAAAACAACGTATGTGCCATTAGTTTCCCTATGCACAGAAGTGTTTTTTAAGATGAGCCAGAATTTATAGTTCCAAATTGCAAAAGATAGTCCATTTGAAACGTCACCTGTTAAGTCCAACTTGCACCAATGAATGTGCCTCTATCCCATTTAAATATGTATAACCTTTGCACTAAGTATTTAACATTCTTGTAATTTTAGATTTTAACTATTAATTTTTACCAACATTTTAAACATTGAAACCCCTAAAGCAATTGTCATTGACATCTTTGCATAAGTTGGTAATAAATTAGTGTAAATTTTAGGTATTAGAAAATTCTGTAAAATGTACCTATATATTGTCTCTGTAACTTTATAAACCCGAAAGGGTAAAAATAAAGTAAACTTCTATTCTATTCTATATTTTTAGGTACCTTTTGGCTCTGGGGTGCTAATATCAATATTCGAAAATTTGGCAACATTGAAATGCTGATAGGGCGTTGTTGGCTAGGCAGAAGTATCAGGTTCCGGCGACGCGACGGACTATTATTGAGGTTATTACATCGACATGCGACATCGGGGACTCGCGTAATGTGTGAGCTTAGCGGGAAATCCGCTCTGAAAAGGGCTCGGGAGGTCCTTGTCAAAGCGCGGGAAAATCGCGGGGCCGGGCGCGCTCCCGGATCTGATTCGTCGCCGATCTGGCAAGAGCAGCTCAAAGGGCAGGGCCTCCTAAAAAAAGCTCAGTCACCAAATAAGAAGCTTATGGCTCCGCCGGAAAAACTCCACATTAAATTTATATTAAACAGGAATATTGAGAGAACCCGGTGATTTCGGGCGCCTTTGGTTCCACCGTCAAAGTTGTCAAGTTGTGCCATGAAAAGTGGAATTCTACATGGGTATAAAATAAGGGGAAAAGCACCATCTGGCAACAATGTCCACCGCGCTCTGCCGTCGCAAGGAGAACGCCGTAAGAACATTCGGACGTTGTTGAGTTTTTCTCTTGTAAAATCTTTATTTTTTAAGAAAAGATAGGGATATTTTTCTTTGAAAATTGTATAGACACATTTGATTTAATTGTCTTTAAAATTGTCTGCAAAATTGAGGGAAAGATATTGACGAGTTTTTATGAAAATTTGGATTTTATCAAAGGGAATTCGGCAACGTCTGGAGGTTGAAATGTTCTTTCTTAGCATGACGACGCTCGTTAAAATATCTTCCCCTGAAAATCCTTCTGATCGCTCCTTAAAAGACCCGAAAGCTTTCGCTGCTCGTAAAAAAGTTCGCGTTCTTGTCTTTGAGGGAATAATCTGATGCATGAACATTCATGTTTAATGTGAAAACTTCGTATTCTGACGAGTCCATTGCCGAGGCAAGGATTTCGGTGCTCGATGCTGAAGTTATTTCGTTTCAGAACAACCAGACTGAAACATCGGAAGAAGTTCAATCTATTCAGGATGCTGAAGGGTGTTGAGCAATAGCGAGGCGAGAATGATCGATTATCGATATCTATCCCTTTGAAACTGTGGTATAAAATTGATTTATCAGCCGAAGTGCATATCACCGAGCTCAATTTCCTCTCGTGTTTCTTGTTTTTCAAATGTCCCTCACATCATGAAGAAATACTCACAAAGTCTCAAGTCAGAGCGTCATTCATTGTTAATTTTCCTGTGAAAATAAGAGAAACATTGAAAGAAATTAGGCAGCCTCATCTCATTTAGTTATGCTAAATTTGATTGCAGTGATATTCTGTGAAAAATTTGCTCCCAATTTTTTTAGCATCAAAATGTCAGTTTGAACTTTCTTTCTGCCGTAGGGATCCGCATGTAATTTCGAAACTTCAAACACGTATTTCTCGAAACAGTATAGACTGCTTTAATGTACCTTGTCCTCCAAGCCCCTCAATTTTGTGAGGAGCATAACTATGTGATAAAAGTACATAATTGGAAATGTGACGCTACAGTTGAAATTAGGCAGCAATGGAGAATTGAAAATTGAGTTCTTCTTCTTCCTCTCCTCCGCACCGAGGAATATGAACAGATTTTGCTCGAGAATCTAAACGCTGTCAGTTTGTTTTCTGGTTTTACTGAAGGTTCGAAACGTGTGTCTTTCGTGTGATTTTTGTTCAAACTTGTGAATTCTTGCAATTTTCAAAGAATAATTTGTATCAGTCGACATTAAAACCAGGTAAAAGTTTCTAAAATCAAATAAAGGTTTGTTTTCTTTTTTTGATTTTTATTGATAAACATAATAAAAATATTCCATTTTAATATATATGTGTTTCAAGTTTTAAAGCGGACTCAGATTCCAATTATTTCTGCCGTGCTAAGGAAGAACGCATGAGCCTTTGGACGTTGCCATATTTCTTTCGATAAAAAGCAGAAGTGGAATAATCTTGAATAAAAATTTTCAGATAATTTTATTCGAAATTTTATGTAAAACGTATGAAAATTTGAAATTCAAGGGAAAATGTGCTACTTTCCTAAAAAAAAAACAGGTTTTATCCAGGGAAATTTGGCAACCTTCGAATTTTCATACGGCGTTCTTCGTTTGCACGGCAGATTTGGTTGACATTGCAACTGATAACTACCTTTGTATTTCGCATGAGCACATAATTTTACTAATTTTAGAATATCTTTATTTTTACCTCATAATTTTCAAAGTGGGCTGGCAGTTTCTGTTGCCAGAAATATTTTTAAGGCACGAAAAAATGTCTACTCGATAAAAGTATGATCTCCATCTATATGCGCTGTCGAAATTTGAAGTTTTGGAAGAATCTTCCTCTTTTATTATAGATACGAAATAGTCAAGGAATATGCCCTAATGTGTATTTACCTTGATTCATTTTGTTCAAATCGTTCGCTATACATTCCAAAGTATGATTAACTGGTAATTTTAAACCATAAAAGAAACGGAGTCCTACAGGGAAGGATTTACCTACTCGCCGCCCATGGGCTGCCTGTATTTTGCCGCCCCCTTCTCATTCGTTTTGAAACATCAATATAAACCATCAAGTGAACGTGCCAGCGGGGGAAGGATGCAGAAGACGCGTTTACTTGTGTTGGACACATTTTTTGGGAAAGCCGTGTCAACACTACTAGCAAAAGTTCACGGAACCTTGCGCGAAAGTTAAGTTCCGTAAACCTATCTCTGTGTGGACAAGGCCTTCCATTCATAGGAAATGAACGAAAAAATTATGAAAGAACAAACATAAATGTAGTTTAATGATTTTAACTTCCGCCGCCGCGCCGCGCCGCGCAGACTGCACTGTGTTTGGCGCAATGCGTGAAGTATTCCGACAGTCTTGTAGGCGCTATCCGTTTCACGTTGACTGCAGTGACCGCACTGTGTTTGATGCAATGCGTGAAGTATTCGTGCAGTCTTGTAGGCGCTAATATGTGTTACATGCCGACCGCCGCGCCGAGGGCTTTTCCTTTTCATCTCAAGTCCTCGTCATCATTTCTCCGCGCCGAAATCAAGTCGCGCCGTTCTAGGCCAAATTGCGTGTTTGGTTTCTCTCTTAGCTCGACTAATTAAAGGTGCTGTCTCTTGTATCACTGAAGACGACAAAATTAGAAATTGCTATACTCTCAGAAAATGAGAGATTTTGTTGCCTTTTCTCGTTTGTAATTTTTTTTTCTAAATTCTATTTTTTTTTATACCTTTATTTAAAAAAATTGCAAAATTTGCCGAACCCTAGATTTGCCGCCATGGGCCGCGGCCCATGTGGCTATCCCCTTAGTCCGGCCCTGAGAAGGAGCTTACTACTTAGGAGCTTACTAAGGTACTACCCAGTGCCTAGGAAAAATACAATTATAATCTTTTGAGCGTTCTCACATTTCCTCTGATAAATCGCACATTTTCGGGAAACTCATCATTATATTCCAATTTTTCCGAGGATTTTATTCGCAAATCAATTTGAAGCACCTGAATATCGCGAGGAGGAACGTTCATGACGTGTATCAAAATTTTTTATTGTTTTCATATGTGTGTGTTGGGAGGGGAGAGGGGATTTTACACCATTCGAATGTTTCCTTTGCAATTATATGTTAAGGGCACGTTCGCTGAAACTATATTTCTTTGATTCGCAGCTGGAGATGGACCAGAGGACTATCAACCAGTGTCTGAAAGGCAAGCGGACCGATAACTTCACTTCGGAGGAAAAATGTATCTTCATCGATCTACTCGTGAACAAATATAAATCCTTGCACGAGGACCGCTCGCAAAATAAAGAAAATAACATCATGAAAAGAGAAACGTGGAAAGCTCTACTCAGGTAACATGCCAATATCGCGCACCTGTTTGATCTATATTCTTTTTTTTAAAGTTTGACGCTTACGTGAGTTCAGCAGGAAGAGATCGAGTTTTTTTCTAGAAAACAATGGGTTTGCTTGTTGTAGAATTTCTTTTTTAATTTCTCAGGGATACAAGTTTCTGTTTCGAAATTTTAATTTTAAAAACTGAAGGACCTTAAATGTCTGTTAATTTCTGACGAAGGAAATCAAAAGAGGGGTAGCGCTGAGGGCAATTCTTGACCCCCTCTCAAATCTGACAATGGAGAATTTGCACGAAAAAATGGTAAGTATTGATTCATCTGAGAGTTGTTAATGAGCTGAGTTCTCAGTATTTTTCAGAATTTTTCTGAAATGGGAAATTGTATTATAGACAAGTAGATTTAAAAATGAGAAAATAAGCCGCCTTGTGATGTCATCTGGTGACATTTTCCATTTTAACACATTTGTTTTAGCAGAATGGATCATTTTGTCTTATCTTCTGCAATAATTTCTCAATTTGGAAACCAAGGATATCCTCGTGCTCAGTTCTCTTCGTTATTTCATTTTAAACAAGTAATTTACAAAATTTCAAACATCTGCGAATTCTCTACCCACGCAATTTACAAAAGTAAGCATAATTTGGGCAGTACCTATGGCTCTTCTTACATACAAGAAGGTTGCCTAGGTCCATAAAATTTCAACGGGTTTTCAGGGGCTGCGTATGCAACCTGCAACAGTTATCCGATGATTTAATAAGAGATTTCGAAATTCGACTCATGATATTTTATTTTCAAAATTGCATACTTAAGTAATTTAGATTACTGTTTTTATGCGTTTAATGACATTCTAAGTTGATTACAGAGGTTTTAAAAAAATGCATAAAAATCACAAAATTTCTTATAGGAGGGCATGGATTCGATCGAAAAATGAAAATGTGAATCGATCGACAAAGCGTCAATAAATCAGTGTCGATTCGATCGACATGAATCAATTGGACGTATTTCTGTCAAACGAAACTATGTGCATTAAGACATGAGCCCTGAGACCCATAAGCATATGTGCATGACAGGGCTCTCGTCATAATGCACATAGTTCCGTTTGATAGGAATACGTCCAATTGAAAAATAAAAACGCGAATCGATCGATGACGGTGAATCGATCAACAAACCCGAGAATTGTTCGAAAAAATCCGTGAGTAGATCGACAAATCCGTGAATCGTTGGCAAAACCCATGCATCAATCGAATTTTGTCGATGGCTTCACATCGATCGAATCGACACCGGTGTTTTGATAATTCGTCGATCAGTTCACGTCGATCGTTTCACGTTTCTCTTTTTCAATAGATTCATAAACTGAAAAAAAACTCCGGCCGTGGAAGCCATACTTACGGGGTATATAGACATACCATCCTCGTTCTGGGCGGAGCACCCGGAGCAATCAAACCTTCGGCTTCAGCACCCGTAACTTTTGGCTTCTGAGCCCGAAACGGGTGGTATGTCAATACAGCCCGTATCTTTTTTTTCAGTGTATCAATCGAATTCATATCCTCCCAAGTAGCATTTTTCAAAGGAAAAATCGGGATATATTGCAATTGTATATTATTGATAAAATCGCTAGGATCATCGATATCTGAGCGATTATGGCGATTTAATCTCGATTTTATCGACGAAAGTTGATCGCGATTTTTTCGAACCAAATATTGCGATGTGTAGCGATTTCATCGCCGTATACGCAATCTTTAATGCGATAATAGCTCGATATATTGCCACCGATAAAATCACTATTTATCGCGATCACTGCTACTGGGCTCCAATTTCATGGTATGTAATGTTGAAAGTTCCTTGAAATTTTGCCCATGTGGTTGCGCAGGGACTTCCACGAGCGGGTAGGGAACTCGCGGCGAACTCTGACCCAGATGAAGACCCTGTACGAGAACATCAAGCACCGTATAAAGAAGTGCGTGGACAAGGGGGTCTTCGAGATCGACTGGGAGCCGGTCAACGAGAGCGGAACCTTCAAGATCCCGATCCAGCTCTTCGAGAAGATCCGCCTCCTCTACGAGCAGAAAACCTCCTCCGCCTCCGCCCAGCCGGGCGACGCCGCCAACGCGGACGCGGACGCCGATACCGACGCCCTCGCTGAGTTCCAGGTCGTCGCCGATGAAACCGGTGAGCCATCTCCGCTTCTTTCCTCTAGAGTACCTGTATAGGGAGAGTACCGACAGATCGGTTCATGGAGGGCTTAGGGCCCAAAAGTGCAGCCACCCTTCTAACCAACTTCTAACGCACAAAATTTCACTACCAGTCTGCAGATTCCAATTCTAACCAAGATGGCCAAGAATGTACAGAAATGAGCGTTCTTCCGCGAAATTGAGTAAATTTATGCAAAAACTGAGTCAAACACGTGCTTTTAAAGGACGGTTCGTAACAATAGTATCAGTAAATCGCTCTGGATAATTGAAATTCATAGGTTGGCTGCCCTTTTGGGCCCTAACTTTATTCGCGGAGGCATCGGTGAAGGCCTGATGGACTTTCGGAGTTTCAGATCTGTCGGTACTCTCCCTATACAGGTACTCTACTTTCCTCAATGCTTTTCACACAAACCGTCGCTCTTCTGACCGAACACTGAAAAAAAATTCTCGGCGTCTTTACCAAGGTCCGTTGGTACCTTTACCATCTCACTTTTTTTACCAATTAATGGTAATTTTACCAAGACAGACTGGTAAACTCACCTAAAACCCTGTATTTTTACTGTTTTTTCGGGTAAGAATACTACTTTTATTGGTAATCAATTCCCGGTAACTTTGCCATTTTATCTCGGTAATTCTACCATAGTCGATAAGAAATATTGGCGTTTTTACCAAGGTCCAGTAAAATTACCGAGAAAGTTCAATAATTATACCGAGATTTCTCGGTAAACTTACCAATTCCATTAATGGTAATTTTACCAAGAAAAAACTGGGATCAAATAGAACCCTGAATTCTTGGTAATTTTACCCTTTTCTTGGTAAAGTCACCGAGATTTTTTTTTCAGTGAGGTACGAATTTAAGCATTCTGATACATGTTTCTTCACCAGAATTGCACGTAGAGCACGATTTGTGCAACGAAAACTAATGAAACAAACTCCAAACGAAGATATTAACGTTTTTATTTCACATTGGTTACGAGGAATTTGAACTGCTCGCTGACAAGAAACTCAAAGCTCTACGTGAGTCAAATCGCGCACTACAACGGTTTCAACAAGCTTCTCAATCGAGTAATGTTCATTTCCCACCATGTTGTTCAAACTATAAGCAATTTGCTACAGCTGAGCCGAAGCGAGGCTGATTGAGGCTGCCAGATTTTTATATCGCAGGGACTGTCATGATAAGGTTTAGCGCACGATGTGTATCACGCAGAGCATTGAGTTTTCATGAGCGGGTGGTTTGAATTCACGCATCAAGAATCATTAAATATCTTAGGAAGGAGTTGATTTCGGTAATTTTCGTTGTGCGCGGCGTATTCTACGTGAAATTTTAGTTACGAAACATGTACCAGAAGCTGAAATTTGTGCCTTGTCTAGTGGTCCATTGAGATACGTCCTTACGTCAGAGGGGCGACGCCTTCAGTAGACCAGTTACTAAACTACATCGATCAACTGAATGTATCGAACCTTTCACAGGGAAGATCCCATATCCCAAGTAGCAGTGATCGCGATCCGTTGCGATTGCGAAGTATGTAAAAGAGTGTATCGCGATTTTATCGACGTCGATTCATTGATTACGGTGTGATTCCTCCACGGTGCATGGACTCCACGGACTCACCCCCTTCCAAAACTGGTGCATCGGATCCACAGGTCGTGGAGCCCACGCACCAAATTAGAGAGAGACAGAAAAAAAGTGGTGCGTGGAGCCCACGCCCTGTGGATCGATTGCACCTGTGCATCGGCTCCACAGTGCATTCCCTCCACAGGCCCCTAGTAGCGCCCAGGGTAAAGCGGGTCGCCTTTCATTACGTTATTGCAAACCATTCAACGGCGAAACCTTCCGAAGACTGAAAAATAAGTATTATTCATCGCGGAGGAAGAAAAAAACCGAATGATAACAGTGAAGCCTCATATTTTGTGATGGGAAGTTGATCAATGGCCGCATTTCATAGTCATCTAATCTCGCTTTCCAGCAATTTTACGTGTTACAGTCGATATTAGGGTGGCCCTTAATTTTGAGTTTTTGGAAGTTTAAAGTGCGGAACCCTCAAAAATCCTTCCATTTAAAGAGAAAATAGCGCGAAAAAAAATACAAATACATTAGAAAACGCACCCGTAAGAGCCAAAAGTTGCGAGCGTTGCGCGCTAAAACGCGTTTTTCCGCCTTTTCGCGGATTTTTTCCGTCATTTCGCGGATTTTTCCTTCGCATTTCAAATGTTGCTACGACTTTGGGGGTAACACTTTTTTAGAGTACTTTACAAAAAAAAAATAACCCAATTTACCTCGCCCATTTTAAAATGTCCTTTTCTCTCCCTCAAAGTGGCCACATCGTGCGATTTTTCGTAATTATCTCCCCGCAAGGTGTGTCTTTTTTCTACCTTTAAAATGTTGATGAGGCTTTGAAATTTTCTGAAATAGCGCACTTTTTGAAGTACTATATGAGAAAATTAACAAAATGTACCTCGCCACTCTTAAGATGCCCCCTCCCCTCTTATTCAAAGTGGCCACATCGTGCGATTTCGTCGATTGTTCGTATCATTCTACCGGTACGGTTTGCCCGAACGAGTTTAAATTTTTTTACGCGTCACAAGTAGAAACTCTTCAGATTCTAGAAGTAGAGTGTCTACCAAGTCATTTAAGCTAAAAAGAAAGCAATTTTTTCAAACTGCTGGAAAACAGAGTCGATTTAAATGTATTTCGGGGCTAAAATAGGCACATTTGAAATTACCGGTATAAAGTTCCGTTAGGTATATTATCCGTTATATTATCCGTTCTATTGAAAAAAAATTCCTAGATGGTTATAATGCCTAAGTTTCTTGGATATGGTTGTTAAAAGTGATCAAACACTAATGGTAATATCACCGATTTTAGGCATTTGATATATTTTTGCGACCTAAAACTACCAATCAGAGCTGAAAATTGCTCAAATTTTCCGTGGAGCTTTCCAAAAAAGACCGGCTTTTTAGGCAGTCGATTCGGCGGTCGAACGGAGTTTGAAATGGAAGCTTATAATGACCTAAAGCTCAGAGAAAAATTTCCAGATGAGCGTAGGACCGGTTTCCGAGTTACCGCAGGGAGGAGGGGGGGGCCGAAATTCCATCTAATATTTGCCGTTTTCATGTTGCCACGGGCTCCTGGGTCCTTTTGCTAATAATGTTCAGCATATCGATACTTCAATATTTTGAGGGGACTCACGTCGAGGAGTCAATGTATCGAGTCGTTATATCGATTTTACACTGAACATTGGTGGTATCTCGGGATTAAAATTCGCTAATACGGATTCACGTAAGATTTAATAATCTGAGTGAGATCGGGAAAAATCAATAAAACGAACCGATACATCGACTCTCTGACGTATTTCAATGTTACTTCGCTATTTTCTCCCTTTAAAAGGACTTTCTTCATCAAATAGTTTCTTCATCTGTACCTATTTCTCTAAGTAGAGAATTTCCAGCACACCGCCCCCTACTCCATTTTGCCCATGTTAGTCGCTTCTCGTTTGTTAGAGTACCTGTATAGGGAGAGTAGCGACAGATCTGAAACTTCGAAAGTCCATCAGGCCTTCACCGATGCCTCCGCGAATAAAGTTAGGGCCCAAAAGGGCAGCCAACCTATGAATTTCGAATGTCCAGAGCGATTTACAAATACAATTGTTACGAACCGTCGTTTAGAAAGCATGCATTTGGTTTACTTTTTGCATAAATTTACTTATTTTTGCGAAAGAACGCTCATTTATGTACATTCTTAGCCATCTTGGTTAGAATTGAAATCTGTAGGCTGGCAGTGAAATTTTGTGTGTTAGAAGTTGCTCAGAAGGGTGGCTGCACTTTTGGGCCCTAAGCCCTCCATGAACCGATCAGTCGCTACTCTCCCTATACAGGTACTCTAGTTCGTTCATGCAACGGTTTATAGTTGATTTGTATCTCCGGGAAAGCAATATATTCCAGGGTAAAAGTGAAATAACGGCAACACTGACGGCCAGTGAATAGACAAGTCCTGGAGGGAGCTCCAGCAGCTCATTGTTTCTCGCTGGCTATCGTCGGCAATTTACAACCCCCGAACCTTTTCAACTCTCAGGCAACCGTTTCGCTGGTGCGCTATGAATTTTTTTCCGGTCTTAAATTTTAAATTGAAGTAGGCATTTTTGAACTCTCCGTAAAATTTGCAGAGAATCCATGTCAACTAACCCAAAAAAAGTTATTTGCACATGGTAGCAGGTTTTATACACTTAGTCTACTTACGGAAAACTGTATTTTCTTTTGCGTACACGGGAGGTGTTGCATTAATTTTTATTTTCATTCTTTGAGATAATTTCGGATCTGAAGGGAAAAATAAGTAATTTTCAGGATTTGAAAGTGTCAATTTTTTCCTGACGATGCTCGAGCCCAAATGAGTCACAGACTGAAAGGATTAGCAAAAAATCCGTGAAGTTGATCAACATTCAGAACAAATTTTAATATTATGTCAAATACCTATGCAGTGGTTCATTGCTGAGAATTTTTGGTTTATGGATTGGTTTTATTTTTAGCGCTATTTGGTTGTTTTTGGCACTGAAATTAAAACGAAGGGCTGAATCATTGTCGAATATCGCGAAACAACCAAGAGGCGAGATAATTTCACGCTACTGAGCTAATTGCTTTGTTTAAGCACGACGATGCTTTGGAAACAATTGGGTTGCGTGGCAATATATTTAGTCCTTCAATTTTGTCGTCCCATCATATAAAAAAAACTGAACTCCGCTCACTTTTCAGCCGCCCAGCGCTGTAAAATTATAGGGGCGAGATAATTTCAAGCTGCGGAGCTAAGTTTTTGTTTAAAGAAAAAGATGCTGTTGAAAAATTGAGCTGATCGACCAATATTTAATGTTTCATTGTGCCATCCATTCACACCAAAAAAGAAACTGATCACTTTTCTGCCTGGCAGCATTACTGATTTATCCCCATCTAATACATGAAAGAACACGTCAATTCCTCAATTTACGA